CAAAAATAAACCTACTCCATTACTAAAACACCCAGATGAATATAATTTTTTTGAAATAATGAAAGGAATAAGTCAGAAAGATATATTACAAAAAGAACCAACTATCGCAGAATTAAAAAGAGAAATTAATGAGGTAAAAATAGAAATAAATCAACTTAAAAGTAGAATTAAAATATTAGAATCACAAAACGAAGTAAAAGACGAAATAAGTGACACAGATGAACTTGAATTCACCCAATTACTAGATCCAATTATAGATCCTATAGATGATGAACCCAAGGACAGTAATAGATCTGTCAATGTACTTACTAAAATTATAACCCAAAAATGGTTTGTACTTGTCAAAATCACTATTCAAAATGAATACAATTTCCAATCACTAGCTCTCATAGATTCAGGTGCAGATTTGAATTGTATTAATGAAGAATTAGTCCCTACAAAATATTTTGACAAAACAATTCAAATATTAAATACTGCAGATAGTAGTAGATTATTCATAAAATATAAATTATCCACTGTTGTAGTCTGTAATAATGAACATTGTTTTCCTACTCCTTTTATTATGGTTAAAGGACTCAGTCAAGCAGTTATATTAAGAGTCCCATTTTTTACATTATTATATCCCATAGTAATTACTCACTCAGGAATAGAAACAACAATTGCTGGTAATAAAATAATATTTGAATTTATAGATAAACCTAAAATTAAAGAAATTAATAATGTTAGAACAACCATAACAAATAAAGAATCATTCTTGCTCCTTAAAAGAAGAAATTAACTATAAAAGCACTAAAGAAGAGTTGCATAAGAAAGAAACAATAAAACAAATACAAAATATTAAAAAACAGATAGAACAAGAAATATGTATTGAGATACCTAATGCTTTCTGGGATAGGAAAAAACATGTGGTTGGATTACTTTATGAACCAGGATTTGAGGAGATAAAGATACCTACTAAGGCAAGACCGATTCAAATGAACTCTACCTTATTAGAATCATGCCAAAAAGAAATAAAAGAATTATTAGCTAAAAAATTAATTAGACCTAATACATATCCCTCGAGCTGTGCCGCATTTTATGTCAATAAAAATGCTAAAAAAGAACAAGGAGTTTCTAGATTAGTTATTAATTATAAACCTTTAAATAAAGTCCTCCTATGGATAAGATATCCAATTCCAAATAAAAAGATTTATTAGATCGATTAGCAGTAGCCACAATCTTTTCTAAATTTGATCTCAAATCAGGATATTGGCAAATACAAATGAAAGAAGAAAATAATATAAAACTGCATTTAATGTCCCTTTTGGACAATATGAATGGAATGTAATGCCATTCGGTTTAATAAATGCTACATCAGAATTTCAAAAAAATTATGAATGATA